GGCCAAGCCAGGCCAGAGGCTTTTCTTTTTCGTTTCTTTTCTTGCCAGTGTGGGCTCCAGGTAAGAGGAATTTCATCGGGAATATTCCCAAGTCAGTGGGCCCAGTCTCAGGGATGACTGTGTTGAGATCAGCTAATGGCAGCACATGTACAATACTTCGGGACTTACGGTGAAACCTGGCTGCCTTGTTCACGGTCCATAATAACGCCATGTAGTATTCCTTATGTAAGGCTCCTTGTGGTGGATTAATTTCAAAATTTAGTGTCAGGCTGCCCCTTTGGAAGTACTAAAGGAAGCCTATTATGTTTGCCAAAAGCCTTGATTTCCAAAGACTCCAGAAAAATTGACTTCCCGGTCACAGTAACTGTTCAGTTTTATGGTTACACAGTTATTCCTTCCTGTTCTTCACTCTGATTCATTGTACACTTACATTTTAATAGCCACATTCTGAGGGGGTGTAGGGTCTAAGTAATAACTTTTTCTTCCTTTGGAGGGTCACCGTTTGGGGCTCTCCAGGGAGGTCTCGGACCTGCAGGGGCCCCTGGGGATGTTGCCATGTTGAGTGTTTCCTCCGCACAGGGAGGTCTGTACCCTGGTGGGATCCGGATTTTTCAGCTGGTGGCACTGGGGGTGCAAGACTGTGGCCAGTGGCTCCTCCTCTAAGTTGCGGGCTTTGTCCTGAAACCCCACCTGGGCCCAGGGCCGCTCTCAACGTCTCTGCCTCACGCAGTTGCAGGTGCCTCCTCCCTTGGGCTCCGAAGTCCCTGCCTAACTCTCCCTCCTTGTAGGGTTTGCCTTTCCACTGACAGACCTGGGTGCCACAGGTTTGCTGAGAGGCAGTGGCGAGGGGAAAAAGCATGTATGATTTTTCAAAAAACCTGGGGTGGAATCCCAAAGCTGCGCCCACTCACTCTGACGCAGGCACGTTTCCCAACGGGATCCCGTCCGCCTCAGAGTTCCTGCTCACTGCCTGGCTCGAGGAGGCTCTTGAGTCTTGATGTCCCCACTGGGTCCCGAGGCCTGGAGCACACCTGTGACGAGAGGCTTGCTCGGCTCTGCTGGCCTTTTATTGTCTTCTGGAGGCCTCCCTTCCTCGCTCTGAGCTGCAGGAGCCTGCCTCCCCTGCCACCCTGCCAGCCCTGGGGTGTCCTTTCTCCTCAGCTCAGAGAAAGAGGTTTTCAACCTGCTCTCAAGCACTGGCATGGATCCCTTGCCTGGTGGCCCCATTGTCACCTGCTGTCGGGGGCGGGGCTTCTCTCTTGCACAACATCCCTCTGCAGCTCTTCCAGCCCTGTGACGCCTTTGCCTCCCGCCCCCCGAGCTCCAGAGGTGGGCTCCCCTCTCTGCTGAGTCTTCCCAAGCAAACTTGCTCTCGCCCGGCCCAGGTGCCTCCCCGAAGTCCTCCCTCTGCCTGACCATCCTCAGTCCTCACCCTCCTTGGCTTGGGCGTAGGTCAGCGTCCTGGTTTTCTCCCTGCCTCCCCTGACAGGGGCAGGGCACCGTCCTGGATCCTCTTCCTTCTTCATCCATTTCTCCTTGGTGAGCTCCTCTGCCCTGTGGCTTCAGCTGGCCTCACGTTTGGATCTGAGCTTAGTGTCCCTCTCTCTGGGGGAAGCTTTTGCTGGCCTTCCCAGTCTGGGCTGTAACCCAGCATGCCCTGCCACGGCACACTGTCCCTCCCAATTGTGGTGACACTGGCCACATGTACAGGCTTGTTCGTGTGTCTCCTGCCAGGAGGACACTGTTTGAGTTGCTTTATCACAGTGTCCAGCATAGGACTGATGATACAGTCTGACCTTAACAAACACACTCTCGCCTTGTAAAGTGTGTTTTTCCAGGGGAAACTCCTAACAACTGGAGAGGTGGGGTGGCCACTCTGCCCAGGGATGGAGGCAGGGGCCTCTGGCTTTCACAGAAGGCATGCCCTGGAGTGTAGACACCAGAATGTGTCTTCATTGTGTCAGAGGCCAGCTCGAAGGCCCTCACAGGTGTCTCATTCAAGTCCCTTGCTCAGGGACAAGGAGCCTGCGTCCCAGAGGTGAGATGAACAAGGTCACCGGCGAGTGAATGGCAGAGCCAGCAAGAGGAGCCTGGCCGCTGCTGCTTGTCCCTATAATTGCTTCCCGTCATAGTGAAAGTAGTGAAAGTTTAACGGAGTCCTCAGCAGAGTGCTGGCCTCTGCCCCAGGGGTGGGAACAGGCCAGCTTCCCTGGGAGGCGCGTCCCTGTCCCGTGGCCCTGCATCCTGATGACCTCCTTGCGTGGGCGGCGGTGGCTGGTTGGCAAGCCGTGCTCTGATCGGGGCTGTGAGCCCGCATTCGTTACCCTTGCACTTTGTGCTTACCTAACACTTACAGGAATCATTCGGTGCCCTCTTGGCAGCATGTGATCTGGGCGGGCTCGGCCGGCAGGGTGGAAGTGGCCGCGGGCAGAGTTCACGCGCTCCGCCTGCTCACCCTGCGCAGGGGCGCCCCGTGCAGACTGGCCTGCCCTCTGTGGCTTTTGTGTCACAGCTGTGTGCGAACTCTAAGGCCTGTTTGAACCCTTTTCACCTAGTTGCTCCAGAGACAGAGCAGGCTCTGCCTGGGTTCTAGCACGACTCCCTCCGGTGGCTTCCGTGACGCCTTAGGCTGCTGTTTCCTCTGCTGACAGTTCGGAACCTCCATGACTCCTCGGAAGCCTGCCAGGCAGAAATTCAAAAATTCGAGCAGGTCTTTTTTTTTTTTTTTTTTTGATCACACATTTTGCCCCTCACCTGGAGGCAGAGGCCCAGCTTCCTCCCGGCAGTGCCACCAGCCGCGCTGTGCTGGATGTCATTCCGCGCACACCGGGACCACGGGAGCCAAGGGGCAAACACAGGCTGGCCCGATGTGCTGGCGAGAAGTCTCCTCTTACTGTCCCCGCGACCCCTGTTCTCGCTCTCCAAGGGGAACGGTGGAGAACGAGGATGCTCATACAGGTGGCGAGATGCAACTTGGAGGCCAGGCTAGGAGAGCCTGTGTCAAATGCTCCCAAGGCCCCGGCGTCCAGGGACCCCGGGCTTTGTTTCTCTCATCTTTAAGAAAGAAAGCGTGGTTTTATTTCACCGGCTTCCTTCATTCTCCTGGCTTCTCCAGGCCGCCCTCTGCTGGACGGTGCTGGCTCCGGCGCAAGCCCGCTGGGACGGCGAAAGGAGCCGCCTGCAGCCGGGCGGTGGGATTTCCTCCCCACGCTGCCTGCTAGGCTCCTGTCCCCAGCACAGAAATCCTTAGTAATGCTTAGCCTTAGTCAGGTCACCCGAGGCGGCCCAGTGTTCTCGTGGCTTCTGTTTCTGGCATACGAAGGGGGAAATCTCCCCGTATCTGAGATATGCCCACTGGGAAGCCCTTTCTGGAGTTTGAACTTGTAATGCAGCGGTCAGAAGCTCGGCGACTCCTAGCTCTCCTATTCCAAGTTATGCAGATCTCAGGCGAGCTGGGGGACCATCTCAACCTGGAAAGTTATCTGCCTGGTGTTAGCATTGAGCTAATTTGATTAACTTCTCCAAGCCTTTTTTTTTTTTTTTCTTTTGAGACGGAGTCTTGCTCTGTCATCCAGGCTACAGTGCAGTGGTATCATCGTAGCTCACAGCAACCTCAAACTCCTGGGCTCAAGTGATCCTCCTGCCTCAGCCTCCTGGGTAGCTGGGACCTCAGGCACGTGACATGTCTCCTGGCTAATTTAGTAGAGACAGGCTCTCGCTCTTGCTCAGGCTGGTTTCAAACTCCTCAGCTTAAGTGATCCTCCTGCCTCTGCCTCCCAGAGTGCTGGGGTTACCGGCATGACCCACCACACCCAGCCAACTTCTCCAAGCCTTAATGTCCTCAGCAGAGACAACATTACCTGCTTCGTGGGGTTGTTCCAGGGGTGTCATAGGTGTTTGTGGAATCTAAGCAGGTATATCAGTTTCCTGGAGCTGCCATAACAAAGTTACCATGAGCTGAATGTCTTCAAACTACAGAAATGTATTGTCTCATCATTCTGGAGGCTAGAAATCTGAAACCAAAGTGCTGGCAGAGCCTTACTGCCTCTGACACCTGCAGGGGAGTCCTCGCGTGCCTCTTCCTGGCTTCTGGGGGTTTGCCGGCAATCTGCGGTGTTCTGGGCTCCTACACACACACGCTAATCCCCATCTTCACAGGGTGTTCTTTCTGTGTCTCTTGTCACGTGGTGATCTCCCCTCTGTGTGTGTCTCTTTCTGCGACTAGATATGCCCCCCCTTCTTTCATATGGACACCAGTCATAGTGGACTAGGGCCCATAATGGCCTCGTTTTAACTTGATTACCACTGTAAAGACCTTGTCTCCAAATAAGGTCACCCTGGAGGCGTAGGGGTTAGGATGTCAGCATTACTCTTTGTGGAGACACACAAGTCAACTTATAAGAGCAGGGTTAGCTATGGCTATTACTGTTACTTGTGTCACTATCTTTAATTTTTTTTTTATTTTTTTTGAGACAGAGTCTCACTTTGTTGCCCAGGCTAGAGTGAGTGCTGTGGCATCAGCCTAGCTCACAGCAACCTCAGACTCCTGGGCTCAAGCAATCCTCCTGCCTCAGCCTCCCAAGTAGCTGGGACTACAGGCATACATGACCATGCCCGGATAATTTTTTCTATCTATATATATATTAGTTGGCCAATTTATTTCTTTCTATTTATATTAGAGACAGGGTCTCACTCAGGCTGGTTTCAAACTCCTGAGCTCAAGCAATCCGCCCGCCTCGGCCTCCCAGACTGCTAGGATTACAGGCGTGAGCCACCGCGCCCGGCCGTGTGTCACTATCTTTAGAATCATCTAGAAACCAAGAAAGAACTAAGAAGCGGGTCCTGTACCCAAGAACAGTTGGTACTACAGACCCTGTCTGGTGGCCCCGTTCATGGAGAGGAGTTGACTTGGTGGTTGGAGTTCAGTTCCTGGGAACCATTTCAGTATGGAGGGTGTAGGAACAACCCCTCTAACCTCTGGGCTCTTGTTCTTGCTGCAGGTGGAGCAGGTGAGAAACGAGCTGCTTCAGGAGAGAGCTGTGAGGCAAGACCTGGAGTGCGACAAGATTTCCTTGGAGCGACAGGTGAGGGCCGTCGCCCTCAAGCTCCACCCTACTCCTCGGCCCCCAACCTGTGGCTTTAGACTAAAACCCCTTGGAGGTGCCTCCTTTACCTGACACCCCTGGGGTGTAACTTACCTGAGAGAGAGAGGCGAAGGCCTTTTCCAGAGAGGTTTCTCCCAGTGGTACTAATTCTGCTTGGAAGTTTGGCAGCTGCAGGCAAGAGGAATTGCACGTGTTCTAGAACCTAAAGAAAGCTAAATTCTAATGTGAAGAGAATGAAAAAGAGTGGCTAAGGAAGCTTAACTGGATCATTATTTCGTTTACATACTGTTCGCGTCAATGTTTCACCGAATGTGATCGGGGAAGGAGCCTGTTTCTCCTGTCCGCTGTAAAAAGACAGCGGCCAAACCCATTTGGGGTTCCAGAGTCTTAGGACATGCCAAAGATTTCACTCAGGCCTATGAGGGAATGCGATAGGATCTCTTCTTTTTGCCTGCAAGGACCTCAGTTCACGGGTTGCCCCTGGAAACGTCTCTGGCGTCCCCACGTCCCCAGACCATGCATCCTGGTGTGGACAGAGCCTTGTCACCAGCACCACCCAGACTCCTGGCTCCACCCCGTGTTCTGTTCTGCTCCGCTCTGCACAGAGAGTGCGGCAGACACCCAGCTCCTCACAGTCTCCTTGTCTGATTCCAGAACAAGGACTTGAAGAGCCGCATTGTCCACCTGGAAGGTTCCTACAGATCCAGCAAAGAGGGGCTGGTGGTGCAGATGGAGGCCAGGATCGCGGAGCTGGAGGACCGTCTCGAGAGCGAGGAGAGGTGAGCCGGCCGCCTGCAGTGCAGAGGCCCCGGCAGGCTGTGGGAAACCAGGTTACAAAGTGCTTTCGCGTTTGGTGTCTCTTCTCACCTGTCATAAGCCTGTGGGGAAGCCACAGCAAGCACGGCCTTGCTGTTCTTGGGTCCATTTTACAGATGAGAAAACTGAGACCCATCAAAATAAGTGACTCGAGTCTGGCTGCATACTGGACTCCCACTCCTCAGTCCATAGCTTTTCCACTCGACCTGCTGCTCCTTTCCCCTAAATAGGATAGGCCGACTCTGCCTGGGGGCCAGGTGTATTTAAGCAGAGGCTGATTGGCTGCTGTCAGAGGAGGGGCAGGTCCCCCCACAGCGAGGAAGAGGGGTGTGGAGTCAGGTGGTCACAGTCCTTTCCAACACTTGATTCTCTGCAGCTAACTCTGCAGGCCAGCACCAGGTTGAACTTGACCATCATGGCAGCTCGCCTTCCTAGGAGAGGTGTGTGTGTGCGCGTGCGTGTAGCACTTCACGTCATTTATTTTTTTAGTAGGACTTTTAGATAGACCAGAGCCGCCTGGAGTAGACTCAGGGTGGTTCTAGTCCCGGCTCGGTCCCTCGCTGGCTCTGCAGCCCTGGGCAAGTCAGTCCTGGTCTCAGAGCCCCTGTCCTCCTGCACAGCTGTTGTGTTTCTCTGGCCCTGAGCCGTGAGCTGGCCGGAGCTTCCCCTCCTCCGCAGCTGGGGCTGGGCCATCGCAGGCTGGGGATGAGAAAGGGTCCTCGCTTCTGCCTCCCCCGCCTTCCAGGGACCGGGCCAACCTGCAGCTCAACAACCGGCGGCTGGAGCGGAAAGTGAAGGAGCTGGTGATGCAGGTGGACGACGAGCACCTGTCGCTGACGGATCAGAAGGACCAGGTGGGGCTTCCCTGTGCGTTCCCAGACGACAGTGTGTGTCCCAGGCTGGGGACGCAAGGGGGTGGGTCCAGGCCTGCCTGGCAGGCAGTGGAGTCAGGGAGGCCGATTCCTCCCTTTCTACTTACCTGTCACGTTGTAGAACTGGGGCTGTCTAGCCTACCTATGTAGGGGACTTCAGCAAACTTTAAACCCTGAATTTGGCCTTTAGACAGTCACCTGGGCGTGGTTGCTTAGTTGCCCCCGTCTCGGTTGCCTGGGGGGGAGGGGGCTGGCTGGGGGCACCTGCATGCCGGGCCAGCAGCCGGCACTCACAGGCGTCCCCCCTCCCCGTGCAGCTGAGCCTGCGCTTGAAGGCCATGAAGCGGCAGGTGGAGGAGGCCGAGGAGGAAATTGACAGACTGGAAAGTTCTAAGAAGAAGCTGCAGAGGGAGCTGGAGGAGCAGATGGATGTGAACGAGCAGCTGCAGGGGCAGCTCAACTCCATGAAGAAGGACTTGAGGTGGGCACACGCAACGGCCCCTCAGGGGCGCGTAACCTGGCATCTGGGCCGTGCTGCATGCTTTCAGAGCAGGCTCACTCCTGTTGTCCCAGGCCAGTTCCTGTTGTTGCTTTTGGGGTCATCTCATCCCTAAAGTGAGATGAAGCTGGCTGTGTCCACCGCAGTCAGCCCGCGTGCCATCCTTGTACCAATGCCCCAGTGTCATCTGAGCTGGTGTTATCCCTATTAATGATAAGAGGAAACTGAGGCTCGGAGCAGGTAAAACTAACTCACACCACCATGGTGGGGCAGTTCCTGGACCAGCCTGCTTTTGTCTGACTTAAGGGGAAATAAGGTGTGGTTTTGCTTTTATCCCCATGAGAACTAGGATATCCCAAGCCTGGTTTCAGGAGACCACAGCTCCCCAGAGCTCCTCTACTATGGTCCTGAGGATTGGGTGGGGGGGGTTGCGTGGGTTGCTTTCTCTGCCCAGGGCCACGGCCTGGGGGCATTGAGGCGAGGGGGTGAAGATTCCCAGAGAGCAAGGGGGTTCATGCCCGGAGAGCTGAGCCTTTCTTGGCATCCAGCCGTGACCTGGAACTTCAGCCCATTGAAAATTCGGTAAAACAGGCCTGTCTATGGGGAAACTGGCCCCAAGATCAGCAGTAGTAATCTAAATAGATAACATTTTAATGCAATACTTAAAAAAAATATGAATGCATCCAGTCCACAGTGAGCAAGATATCAAAATTTTAAATTGGCATGATCAAAAACAGCAGCCTAATGAGCCATAAGGAGCTTGGGCAAAAGAGGAAGGCAGGAATCTGATGCTGTCCTGGCCCAGCCCACCCTGTCCACACCAGCTGGAGGGGGCAGTTGGCTCCTTGTGGCTGAAGCAACCATGGGATGCCACCTGTGAAGTCCATGTGTTTATATGCCCCTGGGAGGGGCAGAGGGACAGACACTTGCTTCATCTGCAAACCAGGGCTGAGCTCCAGCCCAGGGCCAAAACGCACCCCTTCTTGTCTCCGCAGACTTAAGAAGCTGCCCAGCAAAGTGCTGGATGACATGGACGATGACGATGACCTCAGCACAGACGGGGGGAGCCTCTATGAGGCCCCACTGAGCTACACCTTCCCCAAGGACAGCGCCGCCATCAGCCAGATCTGAGACTACTTCCAGGGCCGTTGAAGTGGCCGTCATTCCTGGCAGGAGCTCCGCAGCCGCCGGGGCAGGAGGCAAGGAAGGGAGCGACCAACTGGCTGCAGAGACTGGAGACTCACCGCCTCTTTGTTCACACAGCTTCCCGGGTCCTCGACGCCTTCCTCCTGGGGCGTCTCTCAGCGGGGCTCACGGAGCTGCTGCAGTTTAAAGTGGTCGGATGTCTGAGCAGCGGGGCCGCTGCCCCGTTGGGGTGTTCTGGAAAACATGCTTTGGTTCTGCACGGCTGTCTGGCGTCACTGTTTGCATTGCTTCTCCTGCTCCCCTCCTCCCTCCTCCTGCCAGGAAAGAGGGTCCAAAAAGCTCGTGACTGAGCAGCCGCTGCAGGGGGGGGAGCGAGGGGTGCAGAGGTTGTACACATTTCAGACCGGCCCCTCTCGCGGACGGCTGCCGTTCGTTTGCAGTGTTACAGAGGCTTCGCGGGGTGGCTTGTTTGTAAAGTTCACGCGTCTGTATCAAGTATTCTTTTTTAAAATACGATAAAGCTACTAGATTTTAAGTATTAAGGAGCAGAGGTGAGACAGAGAGAGCTAAGATCGCTTTGGAAACTGGAGTTGGAGAGAAGGAATTGTAGTGAAAATGGACAATTAACACCGAGGATAGACGTTCAGATGGTCGGGCAAACACGACTCGCTGGCAGAGCTGGAGAGGAAGGCATGAAGGTCACTCTTGTCTGCTGGCTGTCGCCATGGCCTCGGTTGCTTATTTTATCCTGAGTTTTGTTATAACTTCTAGACGATGCTGAGACCAATTCCCAGTCACCAGTTGCACAGTGGGGTGGGGAGCGGGGAGACTTGTCAGTTTCGGTTTGTCCGATGCTGTGGTTCCTGGAAGGACAAGGCCCTCTTGCCGTGTCTTGCTGGCCCTGTCCTCCCCGCAGCAGGCCTCCCGGCTACAGTCCTGGGGCCCCTGGCGAGGTGGTGGCGGGATGGGGGGCTAGGAGCGTTTGGGGGGTGAGGGTCATGGGGCAGGTCACGGGGAAGGGAGATGAGAGAGGGGGCAGGCAGGCAGGTGTGGGTGTGGGGCCGGGCGTGAGAAGGAAGCCAGAGAAGTTCCTGAAAGCTGGGGGAGGATGTGTGGACAAGAGGTGGGTTTAGTGGGATCTCGGGTTTCTGTCAAGGCAGGGAGGGAAAGAAACAGACGTCAGGCAGAGGTGTGTCTGTGCAAATGGGAGGGACCCCTTCCAGCTTCCTGGGACCGAGGGACATCGCCGGCAGCGGCAATGTGACTGGGGGAAGGGGCGTGGTCTGGGGGCAAGGCCAGGAGGCTGGGGACCGTGGGCATTAGGAGGATGCGGGGCATCCTGGCACTTCCTCTTGGCCTTCCTGTGTCACCTTGCAGCAGGACAGTCCCCAGGCCTGGCTACAGGCCAGGTCCAGTCACAGCTGGGCCTCCATAGGTCAGGGCAGGGGGCAGGCAGCTCAGTAGGGAAGTGGCCAGGGAGAGGACCCTGTGAGTTGGTTCCACATATGGAGCAGAGATGGCTGTGTCACAGTGTCCCCAAGCATCCCAGTAGACACGAGGCCTGTGGACCAGAGAACTCCATGACAGTTGCCATGTGGTCCCACCTAGCCCGGGTCACAGAGCCCACCCGCAGGATTCAGAGAGGCCAGCCCAGTTTCAGGGTGGGCGCCTGGAGCCCGAGAGCCAGTCCCTGCTCCACCTCGGCCAGGGTCACCCTGACCACAGCGGAGGACGATTCTTCCTCTGCTCGCTTGCTGGAGGTGTGGAGAGATTCCTCCCTGTAGCCATTCATTCATTTAGCAAGTATTTTTTGGAACCTATGATGTGTCAGGCACTGGGAATACGGCAGTGAATAAAACAGTAAAAACGCCCCCCTCCTGGAGCTGCATCTGGGATGGGGTGATAGCGAAGGAATCACCCCAATGTCAATCAAAGACATCAACACGGGCCCAGCACCTCTGTGCCCAGCCCTGGAGCCCCTCTGTTCTCTTGGGGACACGAACGACAAGCCTGGCTCACTGGAACTCACTGAGATTCTTTGACACCCCCTCTCCCAATATGTTCTTTATTTGCCTGCAGCTCCCACTGTCATTGTGTGTCTGCCAATAACCCTGCCTGGAAATGCCTCAGCCCTGCCCCTAAGCAGACAGACATGTGCGACACTGCAGGTCCAGGACTTTGGGATGAGCATCTGCTGGGTGAGGAGGCAGCTGCCCCCCAATCTGGCCAATTCTGGTAGCCGTGAGCCTGGCTGCAGGAAGCGGAACCATCTGTGCAAAGAGAAGAGTAGGTCACCTTTCAAAACACTTGTGTCATCACCCTGAAAATAGGCTGCTGTAAATTCCAACGATAGTGCTATCCTGCACTGCAAGCGAGCTGGATCGTGCAGTGCGGCAGGCAGGAAGGACACTGGCCTGGAAGTCCCGAGAGAGGGGTTTTCAAGTCCCCTCAGGTCTCCCCTCCCTGGTGACCTTGACGGGGTGCTCGCTCACGCTCAGAGCCATGGGTCGCATGGGACGAGGTGAGGATTAGGGCCAGAGGTCCTTTCTGCATCTAACTCGATATCCTTCTTTGATTTTATTATTAATATATGTACGTTTTTTTCCTGTTTATTGCTTTAAGAACTAACCCTGCTCAAGAGTGTTTTCTTTAGCTAGTTTAAAAAGAAAAAAAATTATTTTATGTACAAACACATATGTGGCCAAATGCAATGCTGAGAAGACAATCATCATATATCTTTTATAATTTCCGCCCCCAACCCCCACCCCCACCCCCGCTTCTGAGTATCATTCTGCAATGCCAGTTGGCTTATTCTGTTGGGTTTCTGCTTTTGGGAATGGTCTGGTGGCTTTGCGTTGTCATGGGGAAGAGACATTCTTGTTGCAGCTACCTCCATGTGAGTGAATTCCTGGATAAAGCAAGATTTACTTTCAATAAACGCTGTCACCCAACGAGCATCTCAACTCTTCCATTATTTTGACTTCCTTGTTTTCTCCAGAGCTTGGCTCTGTGTCCTCCAAGGAACTGTGCAGGTGAGTGGCTGGGAGCTTCTGGAGGAAGTGGAACTTGGTGGCCGGCATGCCAGGCTGGGGACACTTTCTCAAAGGGAAGGGTGCAAAGCGGTCAGAGGTGACTGCTGAGGGAGCAGTGGCCCTGGGTGCTTGTAAATGTTTGTTGTTGTTGTTGTTGTTTTTTGAGACAGAGTCTTACACTGTTGCCTGGGCTAGAGTGCCGTGGCGTCAGCCTAGCTCACAGCAACCTCAAACTCCTGGGCTCAAGCAATCCTCCTGCCTCAGTCTCCCGAGTAGCTGGGATTACAGGCATGTGCCACCATGCCTGGCCAATTTTTTCTATATATTTTTAGTTGGCCAATTAATTTCTTTCTGTTTTTAGTAGAGATAGGGTCTTGCTTTTGCTCAGGCTGGTTTCAAACTCCTGATCTTGAGCAATCTGCCCGTCCAGAGTGCTAGGATCACAGGCATGAGCCACTGCGCCTGGCCTGTAAATGTTCTGAGAAATCCAAACTGCCCACTGGGGAAAATGGCAAAAGAGGAAGCATGTTCAATGCTAATGACAGACTAAACAGGCACCTGTTCCGCCCTTTCCTCCTAAATTCCAGTGGCATGCAGTCTCTCTGGGTCTCACAGCAGGCAGGCACCATGGGTGCCATCTGTGGGAAACAAAGCAACTTCTCCAGGGAAGGGACACGCTGTGATCATTCTGTTTGTCCTCAGGTGTGTCCTTCACCCTGCCCCCTGGAGGCTGCTGTGTAATGGCCCCAGGTTCCCTCAGGGACCAATGGCCACTCTGGGCATTTGTCCGTCACTCCCTGCTCTGTGGGGCACTTTCAGGTGGGCTGCCCAGCACTCGATGGGGGCCCTCCTCTCCTCGAGCCTCCAGTGCTGAAGGCACCGGCTGCCCCCTTCTGTTCCTCTGGGTCCCTGCAGAGGTGGGTCCCTGCCACGCTGCCCTCCTGCCCGCGAGCCCTTGGCTGAGCCTCTGCGGCTCACTGCTGTTTCCCGGCCAGAGCCCTGTCCAGGCTGATGCCAACATCCCCTCCATCCCGCTGTTCTGCCCTCATCTAACCAGCAGGCGCATCCCAAATGTAAATGAGGTTTTCCAATCTTAATAAATCCCCAAAGTCTTTGCATAAATTGGTTTGCTTTTTTTCTTAAAGTCAGGTATATTGAGGCGTAATTTAATAATTTGTAGTACAAGTCTCCATGTTTAGTATCATTTGCTTGGAAACTAGGCTTCCTTATCTTGCCTCTGTGCCAGGGTCCTCTTGGGAATAGGAGCTGCTGAGAGGCTACCTTCCCAGCCGCCAGGGAGGAATGTGGGGGAGGCCCCGGGCCAAAGGGAAGAAGCCGGCCCAGGCCTGCAGCTGGTGTCCTCCACATTCCCGGCATTCCTCCTTTGAACTTGTGGATAGTTAAGAGAGAGCCTGTCTTTGTTGAAAGACTCTCCTTTAGCCAGAAAGTTTCTCTTCTGAGTTTGCAACTGATAGAAACGGCTCTGGCTCCACGGCAAGTTCCTATCAGGGACTTAACAGCCCCAAATCCAGAAATTCCATTCTTTGCAGAGGGATCAGCAGCGAGATGCACCTCGCTGGAGAGTGTCGCCACCCCGAGATTCCATCCACGAAGCACTGCTGGAGTGTGTGCCCCTGGCTGGGCTATCAAGGCAGAGAAAGCTCTACACCAGGGGTCCTCAAACTTTTTAAACAGGGGGCCCAGTTCACTGTCCCTCAGACTGTTGGAAGGCTGGACTATAGTTTAAAAAAAAACTATGAACAAATTCCCATGCACACTGCACATATCTTATTTTGAAGTAAAAAAACAAACGGGCAAAAGCACCCGCATGTGGCCCGAGGGCGGTAGTTTGAGGACGCCTGCTCTGGAGCAATTCAGAAAGACCTCATGGTGCAGGATCTCGCTTGGTCTCACAGTGGATGTCAACAGCTCCTGAGGATGTGAAGTGTGGTTCCAGAGGTTTGCTGGGTCAACACAATTAAACACTATTAAGAGAAAGGCAGAGACGCTGGCCTTTTTGATCGGTAAGGAAGCTGAGACTTGGGGAAGTGGAGGATTTTGCTGTCGGTCACACACGGAATAAGTAGCCAGCCCACGAGTGGCACCTGCCGGCCTGGGCCAGGTGCTGCAGCGAACAAGGTTTCGGCCACAGTCTGGGAATTTCAGGAGTTTACAGTCTAGTTACAAAGTGTTTTTTAAACTCAACTGGAGTCTTTGCACTTTCTCTGATTTAATCGGCACCCCATGAGGTGGGTGGTGTTACCCCCTTTCACATGTTGTGGACTACGCAGAAAGATCAGTAACTGGCCCAAGGTCACCCAACTAGTAAATAGTGGGGTTGGGATAAGGTCCCAGGTCTGCTGCTGTAAACATCCCAGAGTGTCCCTGTACCTTACCTTGGCCATTCTCACCCTGCCGCCCCTCCAAAACAGTCACTGCTGACTTCCCTAGCTGAGGACACTAGGCACAAAGGCGGGGCCTTGGGATGGCCAGTCTGCAAGTCTGCGCTTGGAGCCTGAGGCCTGCTCCGTTGCCTGCGTCTCCTGTCTGCCAAATCCCCTCCTGCCTGTGGCGTGCTGCCAGCCCCCGCTCACTGCTGCCAGCCACCTTTGGGCCTTCTGGCCCTTCCAAGACTGGCTTGAGTTCCAGCAAAGGGCTTGGAGATTAAGATAAACCAGGTGCCTCCAGTTTAAGGCCCTCCTGCCTTTGAAAGGGCCGCAGATAAGCCTGCCAGTCCAGCTCCTGGGCTTAGTGGCTGGGGCCACCTTGCCTGTCACCGTCCCTGCTAGCCCCTGCTATCACTGGGCCTGAATCCTGGGGCTCTTGGGAGACAGGCTCCGGCTCTCTGCAGAGCTAGACAAGGATCTCCCTCCAGGGCTACTGGCTCCTCCGTGGCCTGTCTGCTCTCCCTGGGGACACGTCTCCTGGTGGTTAGATAATGAAGAACTAGGAAACAACTGGCCTCCATCCAGCCTGCCTGCAGCCGCCTCCTCCGGCCTAGGCATCCTCCAAAGCTCCCGCCCTCCTGGCAGTGCTCATTCCTGACTTGCACACGGATCGCTTCCTAAACCAGCCTCGTTTTCTCTGAAACAGAGTATTAGAGGAAATTAAAAACTCACTCTACTACCACTTCCTCTTCATGGCAATTTTTTTTTTTTTGCCTGTGTATCCTTGCTGCTGGATTCTGACATCAAGGTGCAGTATGCTTCCAGGCTTACTAAAGTCATGTGGCCTTCCCAGGCCCTGTGGAAAGGTTAGGTGTGCCCAAGGTGACCAGGGTGGGCCATCCCCTGTGCATCCCGTGCAGGCCGGTCGTCGCGTGGGCGCGTGCTTTGCTGCAAAGTGCGAACCTGTATCCAGAGCTTGCTTCCCACATGTTAAGAGGCCACTGTGGACTTAGTTCCTGTGACGTTACTGCCAACATCAGTAACATGAACCATTAGGGAGCACCAAGCATGGGGAAGACAGAAATAGGCAAGGTGACAGAGTGTGACATCAGAGCTCTGAAAATTTCCAAGTGAGGACTTTTGGTTTGTTTTGTTGAGGAATTGGTCATGCCCATACGTGCTTTACATTTTTTTTTTTCTTTTTTTTTTGAGACAGTGTCTTGCTCTGTTGCCCGGGCTAGAGTGCTGTGGTGTCAGCCTAGCTCACAGCAACCTCAAACTCCTGGGCTCAGGTGATCCTCCTGCCTCAGCCTCCCGAGTAGCTGGGAGTACAGGCATGCGCCACCATGCCCGGCTAATTTTTCTATTTTTTGGGTAGAGACGAGGGTCTCGCTCTTGCTCAGGCTGGTCTCGAACTCCTGAGCTCAAACGATCCACCCTGCTTGGCCTCCCAGAGTGCTAGGATTACAGACCTCACCCAGCCTGCTTTACATTTTTAAATAAAGAAATCAAATATTACAGAGAAAGTTGTCCCTCACTCCCTGCCTCTTTCCTTTTTCACTTCCCAAAGGCAACCACTATTTTCAAATTTGGTGTGTTCTTCATTCAGTTTTTAATATTTTTACATATAGGTACCCAGGAACATCAAATAGTATTGTTTTTTTGGTTTTTTTGTTTTTGTTTTTGAGACAGAGTCTCACTTTGTTGCCCAGGCTAGAGTGAGTGCCGTGGTGTCAGCCTAGCTCACAGCAACCTCAAACTCCTGGGCTCAAGTGATCCTGCTGCCTCAGCCTCCCAAGTAGCTGGGAGTACAGGCATGCGCCACCATGCCCGGCTAATTTTTTGTATATATATTTTTAGTTGGTCAATTAATTTCTTTCTATTTTTTAGTAGAGACGGGGTCTCGCTCAGGGTGGTTTCGAACTCCTAACCTCGAGCAATCCGCCTGCCTCAGCCTCCCAGAGTGCTAGGATTACAGGCGTGAGCCACCACGCCCGGTTGTTTTGTGTTTTTTAAAATTTTATATATGTCTTAGCACTTTGTACATATTACTGTAATCTTTTACATTCAAAATTGTTTTTTGAGACCTGTTTATGTTGATGTAGCTATTTAGTCATTTCATTTTGTTTTATTTTTGGATGGTAACTTTCTTGGTAAATTAAATGCTGAATATTGAGGGAATTTTTGTTTTGTTTTGTTTTTGAGACAAGGTCTCACTCATCACCCAGGCTGGAGTGCAGTGGTGCAATCATAGCTCTCTGCAACCTCAAACTCCCAGGCTCAAGAGATCCTCCTGCCTCAGCCTCCCAAAGTGCTGGAATTACAGGCATGAGCCACCATGGCTGGCCTGAATGTTGGCTTTTTAAAATACTGATTGCTTTACATGCCATCCACTTTCAAAAAGGATTTGAGTTCTGTTCCAGGCATGGTATGGTAGCCAGCATCAAACTGAATGCTCACACTGAGAACAACTGTAAAAGGTGGACAAAAAAAAAAAAAAAAATTTAAAAACAACTGTTTGAAGACATTGAAGAACAA